GAGTCGGGACGACAACTGGCCCCTTCCTAGATGGGGACCCTGGGAATTAACTTACCAATAATTAACAGCACTAGCAGAAATGACCCAAGTGCGCAGTCAGTGGCGCTCGTGTAGCAAGGTTATCGCCTCGGATGCATAGATACCCAGTTCCAAACCAACTGAACATGCCATCGCCTCCAACGGTTAGATGTATTATCCGCCCCATTCACCTTCCGGCAATCGAAACCGTAGCAACTTGAGCCAATGTGCTCACTGTACATGGTTTATAGCTGACTAATTGACCGAATGAAATGATTTCACAGTTGAAAATGCGGTACACACGGATGTTCCTCGCAATAAGGACCACTTCATTAATGTCATGAGCTTCAAGCAGTCTACGCTAAATACAATTGGTGCCCGAGGCTCGAGTCAAAATATTTTCGCTGAAGCCATAAACTGAAACAGATACTTACTCTGAAAGTGGGTTGATCAATAGCACTGACACACACCAATGTACTATTCCACTACCCACAAAAGTGCTGATGTTTTCACCCCTATTGTTAAGCTCAGTGGAAAGTTCGACCATTAGGAATTCTTGGGATGGTGTACGAAATTGTTTGACGCATTTAGAAAAAAACTTTGATTTCAACTGAGAGCCAACTCACAAAAGAGGTCCATTGCCGCAAAGTGTTTTTTTCTGGGGGAGGGGGGGGTGACGTGTCACATTCTTGTAAGATGCAAGAGTGCACTGATCTTGATCTCTGGACAGGCCATATAAGTGGCCATCTGCAAGGTAAGATAACTTGGTAGACTGAACACAATTTCAGCCGTGACACCATGGTTCTCTGTCTGTGAAAAACAGATTATGGAAAGGGTAGTTGTCAGAAGTAGGCATCTGTGAGCTATTCCCAGATGCGCTATATATGAAGACCGCAAGGGGCTCCAAACAGGCTTTCATCTTTTTTTCATAAAGGAAACCACTCACAAGGTTGCTGAAAACAGCCCACGACCGGTTTTGCCCTTCTTGGGGCTCACCAGGTAGGCGCAGTCACCGAGTTTCCGTCAACCTTATGTTCTAGTTGAAGCCGAATTGGACTGTTTTCGAGAAATACACTCATTTGCAAATCAATTTGGTTTTTCACGAGTGATTCAACTGAATCTCCCGTTCAGTTGTAGAGTATCATAAACGAGAGATTCAGTTGAATCTTTCGTGAAAACCCAATTGATTTGCAAACGAGTGTATTTCTCGAAGGATTTCATCTTATTCATTCAAATAAAGCAGACCCAATACTGTCACCTTGTCGCGGTGGTCGGGCTCCTATGCTGCCGTGATCTTGCGGGCTAAACTGGCTGGAACTCAGTTCTTAAAAGTTCAAGCATGCCAGGAAGGCCAACGGGTAGCCATCCGACGAAAAACAGCTAATCTCCCCACTGCAAGTAATCGTATCAGGAGGTGGTCTGAGGTAAAGTCGTACTGTCCTCTGCGATAGGAGTATGAAGCAGTAGGGCATTTCCCCCCAAGCAACCAGCATGTCCGTATTTATGGAAGCAGCCGTGGTGTCTTCCCCGAGGAAGTACGGGTTATAGATCGGCCCCCAAAACTACACACTGATCGCCCAACGGTTGATCGTGACGGCAGTGAGGCATCGGTGTTGAACACTGATGTCACGCTGTCGATGATGATTATGGCCGTGACCGCCAGCGCATTATTCAACACGGTTGAAATACTTTTAAGACTAAAGAACCCGATGCTCTTCGAAAGGCACTTTCTGTGCGCAGCCACACCAAGAGTGAGACACTAGTGCTATACTCCCTGCGCCCTCGAGCCAAGCCGGCCTCCTAAAGCTAAGTTGGTCAGACTATTGAGTCACTGGATCCGGGAAGAGACCCCAAGAAAACACTAACGACCGCTGTCTCACAGTCCAGATTATTGAGTCAGAGGCTGGGAGCAGGATCCCCAAACAAAACCCAACATTCTCCCACTGCCTTGTGGGTCAGACTTTTGAGTCAAAGGCTCAAGGTGAGGCACCTCAACTTAACCCCCTCATTCGGCCAGGACAACCGGGAAGTATCACTTCCCCTTGCAGCTCTTCGCTAACCGGCCTTGCCTCTCATTCCCTCCTAACTCATCGTACAATGCAGTGCAATCGACCCATCTGCTAATCTTCTAGACACGGTTCCGTGACTCAAACATCGCCCAGAAAAATAAACCAAATTAATCACCTACTAACCTCAAAAGATCTGATCCACATTGCAGCCCATAACGTCCATACTTAATGTCGAATTGGGCAACAAGCATCCTTTGCTGAAACCTTGCTTTTCCTACCTGCCGATGCATGTGTCTCCAAAACATGCATACAAGACCCAACCTCAGCCGTGCACCTCAAGCCACTTAGGACGAGTTCAGATGTTCCCCATTTCACTCTTCGGGTATCTGGTGATCCCGACGCAAAAGATCGTGGTATCTACGGTGTGGGAGTTACACCAGCCCAGGGCTGAAAGCGCCTTGCTGAACAGAATCCCAGAAAACAGTCGCGGTTGGTGCTATTACCACAACCTCGTAAACAACCTCTCGTTGGCTCGTCTCATACACATTGGACCTGCACGATAAACACCTCATTTGCGACTGCATAATTATAGAGTCACTGGATGGGGCTTATGTATCACTGGTTTGTCGACAACACTTACAGCGCGTGCATACAGAAACCTCGCAAGTCGCGGAGATTGTACAATGAAGCCGTTACATCTTTGGAAAACACAGTGCAACCGAAACAAACACTTAAAAGCAATTGCAGTGCACATAAGCCAACATAAGGTGAGAACTTTACTCAGTGAGCTCCTCAAAGGCCACCAAAATGAAAAATCGAAAGGTCGTGGTAATAGTGATAATCAACAGTCGCCCTGAGCTGTGCTGTTGTCTGGCTCAATTAAGCTTAACGCAGGTCGGTGCGGTAAACGGTTTACTTTTCGTATCAGCACACGCCCCAACAGACTGCAGTTCTGAGACTAAGGACGAATTTTATCAAGAAATCACAACTGCTTCGGTCGGCAAGAGGGACAGATATAGTAATCCTGGCGGGTGATATGAATGACCAAGTTGGACGACCACGTCTGGAATAAGCACAGTTAGGTGGTCGATTTGGAGTCGATGTTAAACGCACGGATAACGGAGAGCGGCTTCTTCAGTTGTGCGTGGATCATTGTTCGTTCTTGGCCAGTACAAATTTCCAACCCAAACGCATACACCGAGTTATTTGGATGCCACCTACTACAAGACAGTCATGGAATAAATTAGACCACATGGCTATCAGTTAACGGTGGGGAGCCTCAGTTAAGGCTTGTCGTTCCTTCTGGGGTACGCACCTTGACTCCGATCCCGCCATCGTGCGGGCCCACTTAGCACTTCGCCTTCCACCAGCATTACGCATGTCGAAAGAGAGCAGCTCCGTTCAACAACTTCGACAAGTTTCAGTAGCTGAACAGTACCGAGCTGATCTGGCTATAAAGCTACGAAAAGCAGTCATGGGGACAACGAAGATTGCTTCGAGGATGAATCGAAGCGAGTTAAAGAAGCAATGCCGTCAACCTTCAGAACTGTTTGTTCAACCTATCTGACTGGACGCAATGAACACTGGGTATCTTTGAGATCATCAGATCTTATTGCTACTAGAAAAACAAACGGCGACTATGGTGGCGCACGCGGATCCTTCAAACACCAGATAGTCAGGAGTTTAAAGAATGACAGAGAACGCTGTTGGATTTCAAAGGCGAAGAAGATGGAGGATTTCGCTGCAGGAAACAGACGCGCCCTGTTTCAACTGATTCAATCAATTGGTCAAAAGAAGTTAGGTGTTAGTGAGACAACGTGCAAAAAAGACGGAACAGCAAGTCACTCCGTCAATCACCGTCATGAGCGGCGGGCTGAGCACCTCGAAGAACAGTTCAGCTGGTCTCCCTCAACACAACCGCTGGAAGAACTAAGCGGGCCCGAATGGAACACTGACACCAACCTACCATCAGCAAGCGAAATCCAGTGTGAGATTTCAGTCCTGAGGCGCGACAAGGCACCTGCCCCGGATGGCCTACAACCCGCGCTCTTCAAAAGTGGCGAGGTCTTGGTGAACAGCTTGATAACCATACTGCAAATTTGGAAGGAAAAACAGAATACATACCAATGGAGCACCTCGACCGTCATCCCAGTCTCCAAAAACAAAGCAAGAACGTCGTGCGAAAACCAACGTGGTACCAGCCTGGTATCCGTCGCATTCAATGTGCTCTCTGGCACTATTTCGCGCAGGTCGATGGATTATCGGCTCCGTCAATCACCGTCATGAGCGGCGGGCTGAGCACCTCGAAGAACAGTTCAGCTGGTCTCCCTCAACACAACCGCTGGAAGAACTAAGCGGGCCCGAATGGAACACTGACACCAACCTACCATCAGCAAGCGAAATCCAGTGTGAGATTTCAGTCCTGAGGCGCGACAAGGCACCTGCCCCGGATGGCCTACAACCCGCGCTCTTCAAAAGTGGCGAGGTCTTGGTGAACAGCTTGATAACCATACTGCAAATTTGGAAGGAAAACAGAATACCAGCTGAATGGAGCACCTCGACCGTCATCCCAGTCTCCAAAAACAAAGCAAGAACGTCGTGCGAAAACCAACGTGGTACCAGCCTGGTATCCGTCGCATTCAATGTGCTCTCTGGCACTATTTCGCGCAGGTCGATGGATTATCGGAAGAGACAGATTCGTGAGAATCAAGATGGCTTTTGCTCTGCTCGAGGATGCATCGACCATTTGTCCGTGAGTCCTGGGGCTGACAAGCATAGTAGCCAGCACTGAGACCATAAATGGCGGTGCTAAGTTCTTTTTAGGTGAACGGGAGCTGCTGAACGGCAAAAACGAACCCGATCGGGGGAATTCTGGAGAAAGCGGCGATGCCGCGCACCAAACCGCGAATGCGTGAGTAACCGGTCCCGTCTTGGGACCACTCCTGTTTCTGATCTACGTCAACGACCTCCCAGACGTTCTTGCGAGTCCATGTTTACTTTTTGCGGACGACTTGAAATCCTGGAGTTCCAATGCCAGCGCCCTCCAAATGGATGTAGACGCTGCCAAGCAGTGGTCGTTGGACTGGCACCTTCCTCTGAATGATGAAAAGTGCGTCCATGTGTCGTTTGGAGGGGATTCAGCGAATGCCTTCGTTATGCATGGTGAAAAGGGACCAGAAAAAATCATGAGGATAGATGCCAAAAAAGATATGGTCATCTGGGTCTCCTCAAACTTGTCCTTCGCACCACACCATGAGAAATCGGCCCAAAAGGCATTCGCCGTTTTACGGATGATCCGACGTACCTTCTCCCGTATTACGGGAGACGTCAGACCGCTCCTGGAGTACGCCAACAAAGTTGTCTACTCAGGACGTACGAAAGACGTTACCCTCATTGAGCGTGTCCAGCGGGCCGCCACGAGAATAGTTGCCGGCCTCAAGTCCGTGGACTACGAAACGCGTCTCGCGACGCTTGATCTATTTCCCCTGGAGTACCGTCGCCTCCAAGGGGACCTAATTCTTACCTACGCCCTGTTTGAACAAAGCTTGACAAACAGGTTTTTTACCGTTGACCCAGCAAACACCCGGCGGGGACATAGTAAGAAAATCTTCAAGCTCAGGGCACACACATCCGTTAGACAAAACTTTTTTTCATTTCGGGTAGTAGCTGCGTGAAATGACCTTCCTCCGACGGTTGTACACGCTCCTTCTCGAACCCAATTTAAAACACTATTAGACATTTATTTATGCGAATCCTCGCGCTGGCGAGCATACTACCCCGCGCTGAGAACATAAAGAGCAATGCTACACCCTTTTTTCACTTGTGCCTTTCAGCCACTGACCGACAAGAAGAACAAGGAGGCGCGCTGTTATTGGTCAGCAGATGGGTCAATCAGAATCACGTACCTCGAGCTCACGAACTCAGAGTGATACACAGGATCGAGGTTTTCACCCAAGTTTCCCGAGTCGGTTTTGTTCTTGTCGTTCAGAGGCTGTCGCTCACCTGGAAGGCACACTTGAAAAAAGGGTGCAGCACTAATTTTTGGAAGCGGCTGATTTCACGAAGCTAACTCAGGGACTTCCAGGAAGCAGAGTCAGAATTTTCATGAAGGAGCGAAAGGTTTCGAGCATGAAAAACGTGCTCATGCTTGTGGACAGCTTAACTCAAGCCAAGAACGACGGTTCCATATAGGATGGTTTTTTTCGACTCCTCAAAGGCATTTGATCGAGTCACACATGTCTCGCTGCTCCACGAACATGCTCATGCTGACAGCTTAACTCAAGCCAAGAACGACGGTTCCATATAGGATGGTTTTTTTCGACTCCTCAAAGGCATTTGATCGAGTCACACATGTCTCGCTGCTCCACGAACACGAGTTTCAGGGGAAAACTATACACGGAATAAAACTGTTCCTATCATGCAGAACATTCCGAACGGAACTGAGCTTGACCAACTCTGCTCTGGCGCCGGTCTCCGCTCGAGTTTCTCAGAGCTCCGTTCTGCGACCAATGCTGTTTCTGATCAGCGCCAACGGAAGATTGTTAACTAAAATTGTTATAATTGTTAATTACTGGTCGTTTGCTATGGCATGGTGTTTTGACACTCATCTAGCACTTATTTTAGTGTCAATAACGTGTGAGGCTCCCCGTGATTGTCTACCTGCATTTCCGATCAATCACTCAATGTGGCGTCTTGTTTCATTTACGCCAAGGTCTAGGCGTTCAGTCAAACCTAACGTCAAAATGTACACGTGTACTGGTCCGCACCTCACAAACACCAGAGGGATGTAATGCGGCCAAAAAATTTGAGCCAGATGCAATTTTGACGACCAACATTCGTTGAATGTTACCTCAGACCATTTCTTACTAACTTAACATTGCGTACCTCCATGAAAAAAAGCCTCACGCGCTGGTATATCGTTATCTCAGAGAGCCAGACGTACAGAAAACACTATTTCAGGAGGGTGACAGCTTGATTTGAGGCTATACGCTTACTTACTTAAATATATAAGACTCTCCAAACACATATTTCAGGAGCAGCAGACATCCTTCAAATTTTTACGTACGGGTGTGATTTGATATGTGCGGTTCCATCCTTATAACTAGCTCTTTTTCCCTTAAATTTAAGGTTCGAAAACAAGAAATGACTTTGCATTAAGTGGGCAAGCGCGCACAAGAGGAATGAAAATAACGTTTTTAAGACTTCTCCCATGCCAACAAAATACCATACCAATGTTTGCATTTGTTCCTCTTAGACTAGGCTGGGCCACCGATATGATGTGTACAACCAATGAGCCCTAACTTGGGCGGAGAAATCCCGGTACGGATGTTTTTTATGTAAGCCTTATACTTTGGTATCCTAATTGAAATGTTAATACGGTATAACGCGACGTCTGTTTAAAATTTGCTCCATGCGAGCAAGGAGTATGGAAACGTTAGGCAACCAACGTTCCGTGCAGAGGCCGGCGCTGTGAACAAAGCGCGATTATTATGTCAACAAGCAACATTTATTATAGAAAAAAACAGCCTAGCTTCGACCGACTTCCAGTAATTAATTGTGTATACAACCAGAAGAAAACCAGAGAAGCAAACTGAAATTTGCGTTAACACCAGCATCCCGTTCTTAAGATTGCGAAATCACACTAATTTCACAGTTGCAATCTCTAGTGAATGAATTTATCCGAGCTCATCCAGTGAACCTGGTCCCTGTGTTGAAGTTCCAGAAAATGACGGTCGTTTGCGCATAATATTATACAAAAAATTTCCAGCTTAATCAGCTTTCTGGCTAGTACGTCCAGAAGCCATATGCTAGGGTTTGTGGTAAGTAGAGAAGAGGGGACTTCGAATAGAGCAAGCGTATTGAGTGATTTGAGCACAAACGTGCATCTGGCCGATTTGCGGAAAGCCCGATTTACGTGCCTACATTTTTGGTGGGACAGGCGGAAAGCCGAAGGTAGAAGAAAAAGCAGAAAACTTTGGCACTAAATGCGTCTTCAAATCCACCCCTACGTATGGACCTAACCGGGTCACACAAAAGCTGACGCGAAATCAAAGTAAGTTGACTGCGGGTCTTGGAGGGCCCAGATTATCCTAAACTATGTGCGGAAATGTTATAGACCAAAATGCTCACATGAAGCAAGCACAATGCAGACAGTTAAAATCGGCTCGTATGTCAACCTGAAAAGAATCCGAAGCCGACATTCTATAAACTTCCCAATCAATGCGGGGCTCTTGTAAATGTCATAGATGTCCCAATAAGTGAGTGTTCCAAGCCCTCTTAGCACGAAATGTCCTTAAAAAGTGCCCCCCGGTTGGTGATTAAATTATTTACACACCTGATGGAAACCATACGCTTGATGTTCGTTGCGTGGCAAATGACGCTTTTAAGACACCGTCCCCAAAAAAACTATGGGTGCAGCAGGTAGACGCAAAAAACGGAAGGCAACTTCAGCAGCCCACGCAAGCTTACTACCCGTAAATGGCAGCCAAACTATGAACCAATAGGATACACTGTTAACCTCTGTCCCTGATAGCTCTTTCCAGTCATTTAGTCTTCATTGATCTTGCAGATTGTCTGCCAATTTTTATATGCAATCCCGTGGTCTGCCCTATCGTTTTGCGTTTACTCAAAATTTCACGGAAAATACCGGGCGGAGAGTACTTCTCATCGTTCAGTTGGATGATAGGTGCCTATTTGATGACAACGCTAGCGCTGTCTACAGCTGATGCTACATCAAACACGTAGCACAAATCAAATTCCAGGCGTGAGTGCCAGATCAATCAAATTATCGCGACAGACTTCAGGCGCATAACGAAACTCTTTGAAGCAGGGCAACGAAACAAATCAACACATCCAAAAGTCGCTGATATATATTTAGCCGTCCGGGACAAGTCTCCTACTTAGATCCTCACTGCCCTGGGGGGAAACCGGTAGGTGACGGCGGATCAATAATATGTTCAAAACCACAGTAGGCTACGTCAAATTATCAGTAGAATAGTGTCCTGGGGCTGCCTGTGCCGGTCCGAAGAATGTGCGAAAACCAACTCCGTTTCAAAGAAGGCGAATTGTTATCAGCAAAATACAGCATCCACAGGTGTGCGCTTTTTGATCAGTCACAATAGTTCTGGCCTCAACCTCCAGGATCGTTCGATATAGCCATGTGAACGCTGCTGTAACCATTTCCTTCTGCCGTCAAAATACACACTAAAGCTCACGACATTGGGCTCTTGCGGTAGTGGGCGAAAGTCAGGAACCGACATAGAAGTAGATCGGGTGCGCCGCTTGGCTGTTGGTCTGTTTATAACGTCAAACCCATACCCACTGCTACATATATCCAAACTCCTAACGGTGAGGGTGACCAGCCAACCCTCAGTGACGTAACCATCTCCGTAGCCGATGTTTCTTCCTTCTTGTACAGATTAAGGACTCTGTTGTGCCACGGGCCGTCGGCATCCCACCCTGTGATCTGAGACAAGGCTGCCAATATATTGGAAACTTTGTACTGAACAGTTCAGTCAATATTAATTATGGAATGGTCCCCTTCTAGGGGAAGAAATCTGTAATCCACCTGCATTTCAAATCCGGACCCAGACAAGCTCATTCCAACCATAAGGGAACCCGACATACATCCTCCCAATCAGAATAAATGAACGTCTGGTCAAAGGTCCATTAACCAAGTTCCTTCTGGCTACTAGTGCTATAGATGGAGTATGGAGTCCTGTCTCAAAGATCTGTTAGTGGCTGCCAGCCTCACTTGTTTGAGACATTCACAGCAGCCTACGCCGCTGGAAACTCCGCTTTAACAATTTACTCGGATATTCAAAAAGCCTTTACCAGGTTCTTCACGCACCTCTGCTACATAAACTTAGTACCGTTAGCTTCAGTAGAAACTTATTTCAGCGATTCGCCTCGTACTCATCTAACAGGACGCAAATAACGCTGCCAATCACGGGTAGTGTCATTCAAGGGAGCGTGCTAAGCTTCACCTTCTCCCTAATGTAGATCAACGACGTCTCCGGCGGCATATCCCTTGGTATAGTCTTCACCTTCGCGGACCATATAAAAATCGAGTACACATTTCTCCCTTTTACAAAAGCCCATACCTTTCACCAGATTAATCAAGACTTAGATTCACGGACTTGCTGGTCAAACGACTATGGCCTATGTCTCTACATGAACTCCTGCATGATGTCCTGTCGCTGCTCCATCCCGGCTGATATTTTCACAATTGCTAAAATCCCATCACTCATTCCGCGGAGATAAATTATCTCGGCCTCAGCTACTTCTGTACTGTCCACTCACATTTAACTGTCCTCCGTCTCAGGTAGTATAACGGTATGTATAGGCAATTTTAGTTTGACATCAATGACTGAACTCCTGAGTGCAGGACTGTGACAAACGTTCATTTTTTCCTCCTACAACACCCATGACTTTCTAGGCCCTATTAATCTAATCTCAAGTCATCTCCTGAAGCTTTGACCTGTGGCAGTACGTGCTAGGGATGTCCTATTTAACCGATATCCAGTCAAACCGGTCTGTGCATTACACCTGAAGAGATCACGACCGGACAGAAAAATAGATAGTACCTGCGATACTGC